GCTGCCACTGGCACAGGTGGTGTTCTGTCTGCCTGCCAGGAGGATTTGTGCTTGACCTATTGAGTCTAACAAGGGCTCCCAGAGGATACTTACTCAATGCCAGAGAAAGGCAGGGCTAAGCAGCTCTCAAGGGGCTCAACATCCTTCTCAGCCCAATGTATTGCTCATGTTTCTATTTTGACTTCCACAGCACTCTGTGTACACTCTATTTGGCACTGACTGTATACCCTTACTATATGCTGGCTAATACTGTGTTACTATGTGTTCCTTTCTCAACTCAATAAGGCTGTAAACTACTTGAGGACATGATGTTTTAAGTGACTTAGTATCACTACTATCTAGTGAAAGGAAGGAAGGAAAGAAGGAGAAAGGTCAGACAGGAAGGAAGAAAGGAAGGGGAGACAGGAAGGCATGAAGGAAGGATAATAGCAGCAAATATTTATAGAATGACTATATGCCAGGTAGTATGTGCTTTCTTACTTCATCCTTCCAACTACTCAATGAGGTAGATACTATTATTAATTTTTCAGAGCTTACAGACAAGGAAACATGCTTATGGGTGTTAGGTAATATGCTCAATGTGAGAAGCCACAGCATGTCAATCAGGGAGTTGGCACTTGAACCAGCTTTGTTTAACTCTAGAGACTGTGCTCCCCCTCTCTGATGCCATACTGTCATTCTGAGTAGTTTTGAGCACATATTTGCTAATAAAGAAACTAGGAATTCATTATAAAGAAAAAAAAAGGAGCAAAGGATAGAAAGCAGGAGAGAATGAAAGAGGGCGGGAGAAACCCACAAATACAATCTCCTCCTGCAGATATCATATCTAATCTGTGACAGCAGCTTCTGCTTAATTCCTAAACACCCCCAGAAAAGATCTGTTTGCTTCTCTGGTAATACGTTCCATGTTTCATTCCCCATGTGCCAAAGATATCCACAGGTAGCTCTTTACGTGCTCTGGCCTGGGAGAGAACACACACATACAATTGATTCTAGCACTGTGAACACTAAAGGAGGAAATATCGAGCCATTGCTCCTAGAAATACAGGTTCAGGTTCCTGCAAGCCTCGCATTACATTTTTGTGAGTTAATAAACATAAAACCTTTTAAAATGTTTCTTTTTAAAGACACCTTATTTAATATAGATTATTGATGCATTAACAATGAACTCACGACCAACAGTGTTGTAGCTTATGCCTGGACAAAGCTTATGGAACACACACATTTCCTCCATTAGGTACATCACAACCTTTTTAGGCTTGGGAACACTAGATAGCACTTCAGCACTGCATTTGGGGGCCACTGAACAGCAAAATCAGCAACAAAATGCATAAAGGTGTGAAAAACATGACATTAAATAGACCATGAAAAGGACACTTGTTTACGTAATGAGAGCTGACACCAGAAGGCAGAGTGTTAGTGGCCTTGTTCCTCTCAGCTGGGAAGGTGTGTGTCTACTCGAATTTTTCACTCGAGTGCTGCTCAAGTGCTGCCGAAGGTTCTCCCTTTCATTGTGTGGGCCAGTTACAACAGCCACATGACTTGGATTTGATAAAAACCATTGTTTTTGTAAATGACTATGTGCCTTGGCAAGTGCTGTTAATTTTAGAGTTACAAATTTGAGCAAGCAGGTGAAATCATATAGAATCCATGATTAACGATGAGTGGCATGAAATTCAGCCAAATCTTACATTTAGATAGATCAGGAAAAGGACAGCAGGAGAGATCTGGATTGTACTGCACTAACTAGCTGTGTATACTGAAAGGACATGAGCCGGTATTCTTAGTTCTGTAGGTCATTTCAGGAGGCTACTCATCCCTTCGGCTTCACTTGGGATTTCGGCTTGGTCATAGGCATCATCACAGATCACAGAAAAGCTTGCAAAGTCTTATTACGTTAATCAAATAGTTCCTCAAGTCCCACAGCCTTTGTATAGCCTTCTAGCGGCTGAATCTTGCTTAGCACCATGCCTTTGTGTATGGGAGAAACTCAGTAAACACTTGGCATTTATTGAATGGGATTCTTGGGTCAATCTGTCACTCATGTTGCCCTTATCTCTGCCCTCCCTTTGCAATGCACTCATGTAAGTATTTCTGCCCAAAGTTGTGGTTCTCAGCTTGAGGTTCTTGGAATTAGTGGTCCTTTGTGATGTTATTGAGCTATAAAACAAAAAACAAAAAACCTCTCCAAAATACATTTCACTGGGATGAGACCTTACAGGTTAAATAAAACAGCAAGGTTTTTTTGTTTTGTTTTGTTTTTGTTTTTGTGAATTTGCCTGGAACTACACGATAATTCTATGTATTCTATGTGAAAAAAGTATGTATGGGAATTATACAATGATACCTATGTGGGAACACTATGTGTTGCTTGCTAATACTATCACTCAGCTCCACAGATGTCTGTTACAACAACAAAGACTACTGCTCAGATGACTTTGTTTGCTAAGTAAACATTTTCAAAACATTTCAGAGAAATATGGGGGAGCTAATGGAAAGGTTCTTTGATGGTTAAAGGATAGAAAACCAGTGATCTCAGTGGTTCTGAATACATGGCACTTTTGGTAAACAGGTGTAAAACATGTTCTATTCCGTAATAAAACAATTTCTATTTCTGTAACTACTTTTGAGCAAAGCAATCCAGTTTCATCTAAATGGGATAATGAAGTAACAGAAAAGTAATCGTTTTCACCTAGAAACTGAGAAATTGCCAAGACTCCACTCTCTAGGTTGTATCTGTTCTTTTGGACACAGCTCTGCTGATTCTCCTTGGGGCCTCTAGAACAGGAATGTTGCCATGAGTTCATCCTTCCTTTGTGGAACATTTTTTCTCCTTGTGAGAATGAGCCAGCATCTAACCAAAGTGGCACAAATGATGTGTGTACTGTGCCAGTAAGAGATCTGCCAGCTCCCAGGCAAGTGAAGTTGGGTTTCTGTTGAAATTCTTTTTCATGCATTTCTTCCATTCCGGTCACATGGTCGTGCTGAGAACATGACCACAATCAATGGTGAGGTTATAGCTTTACTTGGTTTTGTGCTTTGAGAACAAAAATTGGGGAAGGGGAAGAGCAGTATGGAATGGAGACACCAGGCTCAATGCCTCTGAGTGATTTCCAAAGCATATTTTTAAGGCCTTGAGGCCCATGTTGTCCATCTGTCTTAGGAATACTTAGCTGTTTATGCAAATAGAAAGCTTCATGCTCACTGGAACACTCCTCGCCCATGTTTGTGTTGAGGCCCTCCACCCCTACCCCTAAAAGGCTCTTGTGGTCAGCTTCTCTCAATTTACTGGCCATTTATCAGTGCCTCCCTCATTCTATTTCTGTTCTTATCTTTATCTTAGATCTAGAATTCCCCTTCCATTCTCAACCTAAGGTACTTTCTTCACATCACTCAGGAAGTGCCTGAAACCCCTCCTCTCCACAAAGCTCTCTAGAACACTCAGAAAAAGATCATGATGTCACCTTTCCTGGTCCAAACACAAAACTCCAGACTCTCACCCACAGTTTCACTAAAATCCCCAATAATTAGTACTTTGAATTATATATTTGTTATTAGCTTAGGACTTGGTATGTCTTCATAGCAGTAGTGTATAACATAAGCATTTTCCCAATCTTAACCACTTCCATATATATCAAATTACAGTACAGATGAGAAAAGGATACTTAATATATTTATCTTGATTTCACAGGCCAAATATTACCTTTAATTGTCCTGGGGTGAAAGCCACTACATTATATGGTGGAAAAGGAATAAGTGGGCATTAGCATTCACCAAGTTTCCATAAATGAACACTTACTCCTACCCCCTGACCTCTGGCTGCGCCCCTGTTAGCTGTCCACTTAGCTTAGTTACAGGACTACAATAGAAAGATTCTCCGTTCCTCTTTTTGAATGCCTTTTATTGATCCGACTCCACCCACCTCCAATTTGACCTTTGATATTATGAACTAAAACAGTCTCTGATACTGCTCTAACACACCTCTATTTTCCACCCCTGCCTACCTTGCTTTGCATTAGAATCAGTCTCAGTGATACCAGTGGCGCCTGGAACACAATTTTTTGCTGTGAAAGCAGAATTCCTACCTTTTTCTTGGTGGGATCATCAGGTTCCCTGAAAAATGTGGAGGATGTTAGTGTGTAATGGACAGTCTGGAGTGGGTGTTCTTAGCGTTGTTACTTGGGCAGTCATTTCCTTGAGTAGAAAATCAAGACACATTCCATGTTATGGGAAAGCATTTTGTGTGTCAGAAGAGTTTCTATAAGTTACTACATTTAGGTCTTTAGGTATACTAACAAGAGTGCTTTATGTTCCTTGGAATCAAGATATACCATCTTATCATGATGTCAAACATCCTCCATTTCATTTCACTGGCCGGTTACAACATCCATATAACTTGGATTTGAGGAAACTATTGCTTTTGTAAATGTCTTTGCTTAATGTAGCCACTACTCATAGCAAATGTGTTACAGATGTTATAAAAATGTTGTAGATGGGAGAAATAAGTGACATGTGGCATCTAAGCAGGAAGGAAAGACAATAGAAAAGGAAGACAGAGCAGAGAAAGAAATGGGCACATAGTTATCAAAAATGGAATGCAGGAAGTAGAAGGGTTAAGGAAGCTGAGAATGCAGGAAGCAGGATGGAGAAATAAAAACGATCCTTGTTGTCTGTCATAATGTTGATGAGCACTAAAATCCTGCCAGGTGCTGGTTTAGACTAACTTTTTATTAGGCTTGCAAATAAGCATACTATTTTCCTAGCACATGAAATGTTATTAATAGACAAGGGCAAGGTCAATAATATAGAGAAGATGAGACAGAGGTAAAGAATCCAAAGTCTTTTTCTGACTCATTTCTTTTTCTTCTGACTCTTGTAAAACTTTAGGAAGAGTACAATAAAAACAAGTTTTACAAACAGGAGAATTTAAAAGAATAAGCATGTCTGTTTCATAGGCTTGTGTTTCCACAAAGATTTTCATGAGAAATCCATACTTGAAATGTGTATCTCAACGTCTTTTAATTTTCACTTGGCAAATAAGGTAAAGGGAAGATTTTATTTATATGGCTGATTAAGTCTTGCACTAGATAGGATTCAAACCTTTTGGAAAAGTCAGATGTCTTCATGAAAATGTAATCAACAATCTCCTACATCAAGTGTCCAGATATGATATATAGGATGTTTTAACTTACTAATATTCACAGAGAGGACATAACAGTAGAAAGAAAGATTTCTTTCAAAGAGGCATTTTAAGAGTAAATATATAAGTAAAATGCTGATCACTAGACTATACAGTATATGAATTTTTGGAAGGTTTCACAGACATATATCATGATTTGATTTGTGGCTTGGATTGCAAGTTCTCTTTCCGGGCATCTTTTGCTTGACAGAAGCCCAGCACAGCTCAGGTTCCTGGAGAGTTTGGCAGTCTTCTGCCAGAGTGTCAGTCTCTAAGGGTTCAGTGCTTGGACGTCAGAGTAAGCGTTGATGACACTCGGAAGATCTGGGGGAGCATGTTACTAAGTTGATAGAACATTTCTTCAGAAATACTCTAAGAGGTGAAAAGAAAAGTTCACATCTGTTAAATCATCACTTTTAAAAAAATTTTTAAAGTAACTTGAAATATGGAACTAATCTTGGATATGGAGAGAGATATATGAAAATTCTCTTTCATGACTGAGTTAACCACAGGGTCATGGGGCAGGGGGTGTTTTTCTGGCTCAATCTTCTGAGAATCTATGTTGTTTCTGTCAAATAATAAGTGTGATTGCCAGAAAAATTCCTAGATAGCTCTAGTGTAATCAGTAACAAAAGTACCACTACCTTTGCTAAGCTCAGTACAGAATACAGAATCATTTTCTGCTAATGCCCTTTTACATGGACTCTTCAAGATCTATATAACATAAATGTGGGGAAAAAAACCAAAAGATGAGTCAAATACATTTTTGGCATTAAATAAAAGATCCCTTGAGTGGTAGATGCTGACATCCCTGACAATAAACTAAATGCCTTCATGGCATCCAAACACTTCTCTTAACAAATAGAAAGCTGTTAGTGTTTTTATATTATGTTGAGTTTAGGGCAGTGTGCCTAGCTATATCTAGGAGCAATACTATAGCAAAGATCTATTCACATAACACACCTGTGGTACCAGAAACTGCACCGTCCTGGAAACACCTCCATCCCAAGAAGCCATTTCCATCATGAAACCTAAAATAGAACAACACTTTGCTGAATTATGAATTTTGGTCTTCAAACCTACAAGTCCCTTATGGAAATAAACTGAATTATCATTGTGGGGCTTTGTGTCCTTCTTTTTCAGGTAGCCACTTGTGTGTAGGCGAGCCAAGATCCAAAGACCAGATAAATTTCTACAATCCTTAATTCTCCATGCCAGAGAGGTTTAACATAATTTTGTCAATGTATTCTCATTTAGGATTTCTCAAGTCCTATTTAATCTCCATACAATGAAGCTAAAGCAGGTTATTAAAGATTAATTGAAGATGTGGTTCTATTTTTTTCTTTTTAAGAAAATAAAAAGGCAATAGAGAGCAAGCTATAATCAGAGCAAAATATAAATAACATCCAAATATTCCTGTATTTCAAGAGGGCCAGAGATTTGTTTATTTTATGACTGGAAAAAGATAAGTAAAACATATTTGTTTGTTAAACCACTTTTAACTGAGGTACGAGATGACAGAGGTAATGTTCATATTCTTTCTCCTGGGTTGATCTTGTTTCAATATTTGGGAGTAAGAAATACAGATCATGTTGTTAAATATAAGGTTATGCTCACCTTTGACACACTTGAACACCAGTTCTGCTCTCCTTAAGCACCATGGTATAGTCATTTCCTAAAAACAGAACCAAAACATATCATATGTTTTTAACAGAACTCGGTAAGAAAAAAAAAATCAGATCTTAATTTGTCTATAACATTGACCATCTACTTTGCGAACAGGATCAGGCAACTTTTGGCTAACGTAAGCTGGATTTCTTCTGGTCTTTAGGTATATAACTCCTTATGGCTGTTAGACTATATCTGTGGAATACAAACCAATTTAATTATCCTAGTAAGTGTAATTAAAAAAATTAAACATACCCTTAAAACTTTCTAGAGAATTAATTTTAAAGACAAATATAAATGACATAAGAACCCCAACTACTCTCAACTTTAGCACGAATAACTCCATTAAATTGTATTAATATTTGAACAGTGCATTAAAATGCTTTTATTGTATACATATGAAAGTAACAGAAATAAACATCCCATTCCAGCCACCTACCAAACCAAATGCATTCATTTTTCTAAAAAAAGCCCCCACCCCACGGCTCCATTTTAACAACCGACATGAAAAGACATTTTACTGAGAGAACCTATGACTTTATTTTGAAATGTTTCCTGACCAAATATGGGCTTTCCCCCCTATCATTTAAGGAACTGGATGAATTAGAAGCCTTAAAGAGAGGCAGCTATAGAATCTGATCTTCCAAATACCCCATGTACCTTTATTGAATTTAATCATAATGCTGTCAAACTGTCATGATCTCAAAAGGATTTTTATTTGCTGTCAGTTCAAAATAAACCCTGAATACATTTTTAATCTTTCTACTGGGTGCATTAAATGCAGTACAATAAACAAATAATTTAATAACCAAAAAAAAAAAAAAAAAGAGAAAGAATCACTATTGATACCTTATTATTAACTAAAGTTCACAGTTTATGCAGATTTCCTTTGTTTTTACCTAAGATGTTTTCTGTTCCAGGATCACATCCAGCATACTACCATATATTGAGTTATTATGTCACCTTAGGCCTGTGAGTTTCTCAGACTTCCCTTGTTTTTGAGGAGTCCTGGTCAGGTAATTTATAGGATGTTTTCTACTGGGATTTGTTTGACATTTTTCTCATAGTCAAAATGAAGCTATTGGTTTTGGTGGAAAGACAAAAGAGGTAAGGTGCCATTTTCATAACATAATTATGTTACGATCTCAGAGTTTGTGGGTTCAAGCCCCGTGTCTGAGCTGTCAGCTCAGAGCCTGGAGGCTGCTTTGGATTCTGTGTTTCCCTCTCTCTTTCTGTCCCTCCTCTGCTTGTGTTCTCTCTCTCTCTCTCTCTCTCTCAAAAACAAATAAATAAACATTAAAAAAAAAAAAAAAGGAAACAATCCCATTTGCACCACAAACTGTAAGATACCTAGGAATAAAGCTAACCAAAGAGGTAAAAGACCTGTGCTCTGAAAACTAGAAAACACTGCTGAAGAAATTGAAGAAGACACAAAGAAATGGAAAGATATTCCATACTCATGGATCAGAAGAACAAATACTGCTAAAATGTCTATACTACCCAAAGCAATCTACACATTTAATGTAATCCCTACCAAAATACCACCAGCATTTTTCACAGAGCTAGAACAAACAATTCTAAAATTTATATGTATACATATATGTAATGAAACATTCCTCAGCCATAAAAAAAGAATAAAATCTTGCCATTTGCAACAACATGGATGGAGTCAGAGAAAGACAGTCAGAGAAAGACAAATACCATATGTTTTCACTCATATGTGGAATTTAAGAAACAAAACAAATAATCATAAGGGAAGAAAAGAGGCAAACCCATAAATGACTTTTTTAAATAATTTTTTTAAGTTTTATTTATTTATTTTGAGAAAGAGATAGCATGAGTGGGGCAGGGGGAGAGAGAGAGAGGGAGAGAGAGAATCCCAAGCAGGCTCCACACTGTCAGCACAGAGCCTGATGTGGGGGTCAAACTCATGAAATCATGAGATCATGAAACCAAGAGTTGGAGTCACCCAGGCACCCCTTTTTTTTTTTTTAAAGTTTATTTATTTGTTTTGAGACAGAGAGATCGGGGGAGAGAAGGGGAGGAAGGGGAAAAGAGAGTGAGTCCCAAGCAGGTTCTGCACTATCAGCTCAGAGCCCAACATGGGGCTCGAACCCATGAACCATGAGATTGTGGCCTGAGGCAACACCAACAGTCGGATGCTCAACTGAATGAGCCACCCAGGTGCCCCAAGAAAGACTGTTAACTATAGAGAACAAACTGATGGTTACCAGAAGAAAGGTACGGGGGGATGGGTTAACTGGGTGATGGGTATTAAGGAGAGCACTTGTTGTGATGAACACTGGGTGTTGTATGTAAGTGTTGAATCACTAAATTGTACACCTGACTAATATAACACTGCCTGTTAACTAGAATTTAATAAAAACTTAAAAAATTTAGAAAAAGGAAACAAAATTCCAACAGCATTTCTCACAGAGCTAAAATAAACAATCCTAAAATTTGTATGGAACCACAAAAGGCCCTGAATAGCCAAAGCAATATTGAAAAAAGAAAAACAAAACTGGAGGTATCACAATTCTAGACTTCAAGTTATATTACAAAGCTGTAGTGGTTCAAGACAGTATGGTATTGACACAAAAACAGACACATAGATCAATGGGACAAAATAGAAAGCCCAGAAATAAACCCACAACTATATGGACAATTAGTCTTTAGCAAAGTAGGAAAGAATATCCAATGGGAAACAGACAGTCTTTTATTTTATTATTTTTTTTTATTTTTTTTTTCAACATTTATTTATTTTTGGGACAGAGAGAGACAGAGCATGAACGGGGGAGGGGCAGAGAGAGAGAGAGACACAGAATCGGAAACAGGCTCCGGATTCTGAGCCATCAGCCCAGAGCCCGACGCGGGGCTCGAACTCACGGACCGTGAGATCGTGACCTGGTTGAAGTCGGATGCTTAACCGACTGCGCCACCCAGGCGCCCCCAGACAGTCTTTTAAACAAATGGTGTTGGGAAAACTGGACAGCTACATGCGAAAGAATGAAACTACACCACTTTCTTACACCAATATGCAAAAATAAACTCAAAATGGATTAAGGAACTAAATGTGAGACCTGAAACCAAAAAATCCGAGAAGAGAGCTCAGGTAGTAATGTCTCTGACATCGGCCATAGCAACATCTTTCTAGATATGTCTCCTGAGGCAAGGGAAAGAAAAGCAAAAATAAACTATTGGGACCACATGAAAATATAAACTTCTGCACAGCAAAGGAAGTAACCAACAAAACTAAAAGACAACCTATTAAATGGAAGAAGATATTTGCAAATGACATATCTGATAGAGGGTTAGTATCCAAAATATATAAAAAACTGATATAACCCAGCACCCCAAAAAAACAATAATCCAATTACAAAAGGGGCAGAAGACACAAATCGATATTTCTCCAAAGAACACACACAGATGGCCAGCAGACACGTGAAAAGATGCTCAACATCACTAATCACCAGGGAAACGCAAATCAAAATCACAATGATACCAACTCACACTTGTCAGAATGACTAAAATAAGTTCAAGAAACAAGTGTTGGTGAATAGATGGAGAAAAAGGAACCGTCGTGCACTGCTGGTGAGAATGTATGCTGGTGCAGTCATTGTGGAAGACAGTATGGAGATTTCTCAAAAAATTAACAATAGAATTATCACATGATCCAGTAATCACACTACTGGGTATTTACCCAAAGAATACAAAAACACCAATCCTAAGGATATATGTATCCCTATGTTTACTGCAGCATTATTTACAATAGCCAAGCTATGGAAACAGCTCAAGAGTCCATTGATTGATGAATGGGTAAAGAAGAAGTGGTATATATACACAATGGAATATTATTTAGCCAAAAAAAGAATGAAATCTTGCCATTTTCAATAACATGGATTGATCTAGAGAGTATAATGCTAAGTGAAATAAGTCATAGAAAGACAAATACAATATGATTTCACTCATATGGAATTTAAGAAACAAAACAAATGAAAAAAGGAAAAAAAAACCCAGACAAACCGAGAAACAGACTCTATAGAGAAACTATAGAGAACAAAGAGATGTTTACCAGAGGGGAAGGCAGTGGGGGTGAAATAGGTGAAGGTGATTAAGAGTACTTATCATGATGAGCACTGAGTAATGTATAGAGCTGCTGAATCACTATATTGTACACCTGAAACTAATACAACACTGTATGTTAACTCTGCTGCAATTAAGATAACAAAATGTCAACTGTGGTTACAATTACAGACAATACTTTCTAAAAAGAAAATGGCCATACTTCGACTACTCAACTTGAATCTTCTGATTAGGATAAGGTTGAACTGCAATGGTGATTAAGATTTAGTTGGTAGATGTCTTGAAAGTTAGATATCAGAAATATTTTCTGAGTTTATGCACCCATGGGAGAAACTGAAAAACTATTCTTTACTCTCAAGTATGTGCCTCTGAGGTATCTGACCTACTCCTATTAATCAGTTTCTCAGCCATTACCTGAAGGTGAGGAACAGTCTGGCTATCTCATTTTTCGCATTCAAAAACAATCACTTTGGGAAACTATTTGGTTGTATATACCAAAGATAAACATATGCATGCCATGACATCTAACAATTCCATCCCTAAGTATATATCTAACAGAAATATATGTACTAGAATGTTCATAGCAGCATTAGTAATAATAATCAAAACCTAGAAACTAACCAAATGTCCATAAATAGTAGAATGGCTAAATAATTGTCTAGTCACACAGTGGAATAATATATAACAGTGTGAATGAACAATCTATAACCACAGACAATAATATGAGTAAATTTCACAAACATAATTATTGAGCGAAAGAAGCCAGATACAGCAGTATGTACTACAGAAACAAGCCTAAGTAATCTATGCTTTTCAAAATGAAAAAAATGGTTACCCTCATGGAAAGAGTGTGGTTTATGTGACTGGAAGGCGGCATGAAGGTGGCTTTTTGGGTGGTGTAATGTTCTGTTTTATGATCTGGGTATTGGTTACATGGGTGTTTAGTTTGTGAAAATTTGAGCTATATGCTTATGTATACTTTTCTATATGTGTACTATATTCTAATACAAATTTAAAAACAACATCTTCATCAACCACAGTTATAATAACTAAACCCTAAGTCCCAAATTATTCAACTGGTTAACAGTAAAAAATAAAAGGAAATCAGGAACTCTGGATTCTTGGCCTGCAGATTCATTGTACATCTATTAGGTTAGATTGGTTCCAGTACCTTCAGATCACAAAGATCTACAGAGATAAACTGGTGAAATCAGGATGTCTTTCTTCCTACTGATAGAATATTTGTTCTTTTCCTTTTTTTCTTTTTTGAACACTGCAATTAATTTCTACAGCTCTACCACAGAACATGGGCTGTGGCAGACATCATCCTCATTCCTGTGCACACACTAAAATGTGGTAACTGAGTGTCTAGAAACTGTTTTGTTAGAGGAAGTAAACAACACTTGAAAATGCTCTGGGGCCCTTGCATGAAAGCTAAAGCAAAGATTAACTGTATATCCTGTGCAGTGTTGTCTGAGTTCGTAGAATAAACCTCCTGACCCGAATGGATGTTTAAATACAACAAATGGGAGGATCGTGGCTCAATATACTTTTGTGAATTAAAATGGACACTTTGGAAACAAACTTAATGTCCTGCAGCTGGCTGTCCCAATTTAAAACATGTAACTTTTGTAACATTGTGGGAGAGGGAATGCTAGTAGTATCAGATGTCTGGAAGTAAATCCAAACTTAGTGACTTTAGGAAATACTGTTTTTGAGGTTGTTTCCCACCTACATATAACCATTTTTATAAACTGGTTAACCAGGAGTCCAGCTGCAGGAATGTTTGGATGTTTCCTTGCAGCTGGAATTCATCACAAACTTTTTGTTATTCTCCAAAGACTTTTATAGATGGACTAGTTAGTGACGATAACTTAACAGTGGCTAAAAATTCCTGATGGAATTAAAGCTTTATAAAGTGACAGTCGAAAAAATCCCAAACAAACCACGTTTGTCAATCTCTCCTGATACCATATTAGGTATAACTGAGGCTACAGAAGTGAGCGGAATGAGAAGTTAGGCAGTCTGATGCAGCTCTCAGGATGGAGCCAGAATTCTCTTCATCGAAACAATGTGTCTGATGAAAATAAAAATGGGCTGAAAGGGGAAAATCATGTAAAATCACCTCATCTTACCTGGAATTCATTTTGTGTGCTTACATAGGGTATTGCATCTAAAATGAAGCCTTTGCTAATGAGTCTAAGTGTTTTGCTCTAAAAAGTAGCATTTATACATACCCTTTACTTTGGGAAATACCTTTTAATAATCAATGGCCAAACTTCCTTCCTGGCATTCAGGATTTGCATTAAGCCATTTTGCTTAAAAAAAAAAAAAAAAAAAAAAAAAAAAGAAGCCACCTCAAAACCAGCAGGCACCAAGTTGATGACATGGGCCTTTCATCACCAGGTTGACCACTGGCTCTCCCAGAAGGACTTGCCTACATCCACTGTGCTGAAGCTACTTTGTTTCTCCAGACTATTGAAAGTTGACCTTTTAGTCTTTGTATTATCTCTTCAGCTTATCCCCTCTAACCAGTTTGTATGTGGATGAGAAGGAAAACTGGAGAGAAAGCAGTCATGGAAAGATTTTTTTTTTTCCAAATATACAATAATGCACAGTACATAATAAAACGAGTGAATGGTTATGCCACATTTTAATTGTAGAAGCCAATACTTGAACTGCCCAAAGAGCATCCTTGGGAGAATGTTAAAACGAGGCTGGCTTCTTCTTGTCATCTAGCATCTCCTTCTATTGCCTATTAATGCATACTCAGAGAATGCAAACTAACTTTTTAAAATTTATTTATTTTGAGAAAAATAGAGAGAGTGGGAGGAGCAGAAAGGGAAAGAGAATCTCAAGCAGGCTTTGCACTGTCAGCGCAGAGCCCGACATGGGGCTTGAACTCACACACCAACTGTGAGATCATGACCTGAGCCAAAATCAAGAGTTGGACACTTAACCAACGGAGCCAGTCAGGCGCTGCAACCCCCACCCCCAAGAATGCAGACTAATTTTAATCTTAGTGTAAGCCAAATATAAATGTGGAGAGAAATCTAATGCCACTTAAGACAAAAATGGAGGAAGAGGGAGAGAAGGGGGAGGAGTAAGGGCATATGCCTTATCCAAAGCTAAAGATGACTTTATTTTCTCGTTTGTGTACTGTAGGATAAACCCAGAATTCTCTGAACATAAATGGTTAAGGATTATTCATTGGTTTGTATCATCTGTCACTCAATGCTATTAACCAGATAGGAGATACAAAAGTGCATTAGTTTTTAAAAAGTGCTTTTAAAATGTAAAGTGGATTTTATTATTATTACATATTAAGGGTTAACATATTTATAAAATTATGGTATTTTTGTATCTGCTTACCTCTGACATATCATGCACCAGCAAGAGAGGTATGCTTATTGTTGTGATGTCATGGGTACAGCAAACCTTGAGTATATTTCGGAGTCCCATAATGGCAGGATCTCGAGCAGTGATGTTTCCCGATTTCACATTGTCATCCACACAAAGGTGGAAAGCAACATGTATTTCAGAGAGATTAGAATGCCGTGTAATATAAAATTCTCCTGTGAACACCAAATGCAATCATGATTTTCAAATGCATCAATCGCTTTCAGCAATAGGGTTTATAAATAACTATAATTAGGGAAGTCAATGAGCTGAACTAGTAGAGATATATCAGGAACCTATATGTTGAGCTCAGGAAACAAATATGGCCATTGCTCCTTAATTCTTGGAAAGAAGGTGATAAAAAAAAAAAAGAGACAATAGCCAACTTTGCATAGGTTCATAAACTGGTATGAAGTGATCACCAAGTAGTAAGTAAATCAAATGAGTACTCACATCTATTTTGATGTAAATGCTCAAAATGTCCTACTTAACTCAAAGTGAATATGTAAAAACAGGTTGATTACCTGTCTTGCACATACCCTAAAGCAGCAATTCTCCATCTCAGTTTATGGATCTAACCTCCCTCCAGTTAGTGGCACGGAACAGAAACATAGAAATTGCCCTTAACTACTTTATCTCAGTATCTATTCCCTAATCCACAATACCCTTCACCATCAACTACTTTCAGTAATACCTCCAACAATTTTCTCAAATCTGGGATACTCAATTTATTGCTATTACCCTAGCTCGAGCTACCATCATCTCTCACCTAGGTTTTTGTCATAGCCTCTTAATTAATCTCTCTGCTCTCAGTCTTGCCTACCTACAAACCATTTCCACATTTGCGGCCAAAACAATTTCAGTATAAATCAGATTATATCGCTCATCTACTTCAAATCATCCAACAGGCTCACACTTCATTCAGAAAACAAGCCAAGCCCCTTACTGTGATCTGCACAGCCTATATGATCTGAACACTGCCCATCTTTCTGACATCTATTGTCTCACCCTCTCTTCCTGCCCAGCCACACAGGCTTTTTTAAAGTTCTTCAAACACGTAGAACTTGTTCCCAAATTAGGGCTACCTCATCGAAGTTTTCCCCCAAGATTCTTATATGGCTGACTTCTTTTCACCAAAGATGCCTCAGATCAAAGATCACCTCCTCAGAGAGATCTTCTTTGACAATCCTATCTGATAGGATACTTCTCACATATTCTCCTTTACATTGTTCTGTTTAATTTTCTTCTCAGCACTGAAATTCTTTATTTGTTTGAGATTAAAGAGACCATTGTTTATGCTCAACAACTACAGGGATTTTGTCTATCTTGTTTAATGTTCTATCTCCAGCACATAGAATGGTTCCTGGTACATAGGAGGTACCTAATAAACAATTGTTGAATGGCTGGATGAACAAATGATTATAGACTGAATGCTGGAGCAGCATTTATCAAACCTTAGAATTCATGCTTCTTATAATTACTCCATTTTGTATGGAGCCACACTAGCCATCAGCCTGTACATTCTGCAGTTTCTGTCAAAATAAGTATATAAAATATACAAGCATATGAAGAATATGTTTTTACAAATACACATGCTTCCTTGGAAACTCTGATATGAAAATTCTAGGAAAGCTTTGCTCTTCTAAGTACTACACTTTCATCACTAACCCATGCCTTCACAAATTCTGCTTCCACTTGCTTCAAAGTCATTACCTTAGGATTTTATTTATAAATACATGTATGCTTAAAAGTATTTGATATACTTTAGCATAGTGTTAATTCATTTGTAGTTACCAGTGTTGGTAAGCTATACCTATAGATGCTAGTGACAGGTCCCATGCAAAGGTCTTTTTTTTTTTTTTGACTTAACTAGACAAAAAAATAAATAAATAAAAAATTTAAAAAAGGAAAATTGTGTGGTGGCAAGTATAGTTGTGATTTCCTTGGAAGGCAATATAAGAGGCAGACTGTTTATCAGAAACCTGGCAGACTGTATGAGACAATATCCTTCCGGGCCCAGTGAAGTGCATTACCCCCTCAACTCCTACTGATAATTTAGATGAGGGAAGTCACAGCATTAAATATGGGCTGCGGTCCAGCAGTGAGGCAGATGACTTAGTGAACAAGTCAGGTGCTCCTAATCCCCAAATTGGCACTGCTTTGTTTGACCTTACATGACTTGTCTCTTGGCCTCATTTTACCCAGTACTGAAATGGGGGTCATGGAGCGGGCAATGGTAATCAAAATAAGATGATACAGAAGAAAAAGGACTAGACTGGGTATTAAGATCGGATCTCTAGCCTTTATTGGCTGAGTTGATCTTGGGCAAATAAATTCAATTTCAACTCTGTACTTTGTATAAGAAATGCAAAAAATTATGCCTGACTGCTTTCCTTATAAAGTTGTTGTGAGAATTAGAGGATATAAACTGTAAATACTTAGGTAATGATCAAGTAAACCTACTGGTGAAAATATATAAATAAAACTATTTTCCTTTGCAACTTAAAAACTTAAAAGCATTTGTGACTTGGGTCTTTCTTCATCTCCTGTAAACTTTCTGGCTGTGCAGGCATCTCCTAACTACATGGAAATTCAGATGCTGTTAGCATATCTAACTGAATAGTTTGATACCCGTTTCTAATGCGGACTATGACATAGTCTCCTGATTTGGTAGTAATAATGCAATACTAACTTATAGGCTTTTCCCAATAAGGAGCAATGAAGGAAATAAATATAGCAAGAAAGAAGTAAGTTGAAAAAACCCCCACACATCAGTACCTCCGGAATAGATAATAAGATTGGCACATTTTAAGAAAGCCACAAAATATGGATGATTTAAATTAGGGATCTGTGAAGAGAAATATAATAAATCCTGTCTCAATGAAGGTATTTTTAGATAGAGAGGAGGACAGTTTCCTGTTCCACAAAGTGGAGGAAACAGCGTGTGGTGATGCAATCCTGCCTCTAACATTACCCACGAAGGTAGGATATCTGAAGGTGGGAGGAAATTCGGAAGCTGATGACCACAAGCTAACTGCCTGGGACTGACAAGACGAATACCAGAAAGGGGCGTGCTACCTGCTTACATTAAATGGAATGTGACCTACATGGGAGAAAATCTGGGGCAGAAAACGTGAGGAAACAACCTATTGAGGAAAATGCAAGCTTGAAATGATTAAAAGCTTACAAGATTTCATGCTTGTGAACAGATACGTCTTCCTTGTCATACCCTGTCATATAAACACCACTAAGCATCATCAGAATGAATTCAATCTGGAAGAGGGCCTGAATTTCCAGTTGATAAACAATATGCCAAAAAATAATAAAGGAAATCAAAGAAATGGGAAACAGGAAAATTTATGGGGAAGTGGAAATAAGAAATTATATGACTCATGTTCTGTCTACAAGTTCAACTCTTTATATCTCTAGTATTGTTTGTATTTCAGAATAAAAATGACTTCTTGGTTCATTTAAGGAACAATATATAACAGAAGAAATTTAAAATAGCAAATATGAGTAAACTTTTGCAACTTTGAAAAATTTTTCTTGTATGGATCTAGCAAGTCAGTACTAGTATGAGAATAAAGATTTAAATTGCAGAACATCTGTGAAAGCATATTATGTAGATACAATGTTGTTTCAAAGTAACACATTGACAAACTTTTTATAAGAACTTAAATTTCAGAACTTGTATTTCAAATCTACGATCTCCATGTATGTGATTCTTAGAAAACTGCAATTTCAAGTAAAATACCACTTACCAGGTAAAATATTTAAATAGATCCTGTCAGAATTTTTAGCCTTATCGTCACTTCCTCCATTTCGGTTTCCAGAATCTATTCATAAGATAATGCAACATGAAAGAACATACAACCTATGAGAACACATTACTTCTAGTACTCCCCAATCAATCACAATAACAGCAAAAATGTTCTAAGGATAGCTAGTTGCCAGGCATTCTGACATACGTTTTACATGCACAGTCTCATTTAATTCTTACAAAACCCCTAAAACCACAGCCTTACAAGGTAGGTACTATTACTGTCTTCATTGTATATGTGAAGGAACAGAGGCTTACATAAGTTAAGTAACTTAGCCAAAGATTCACAGTTAAGTGGTAGAACCAGGTCTTGAACTCATATACCCAGAGTCCAAATCCTATGGTCTTAACCACATTATACTTGCCAGCACCCTATTTTTCATCGGGAGGTTCAGGGCACTAAATTAACTACACATAAAACAACTTCGTTAAATAGTTGTAGTGTGGCCATCTTTATTTTTAGATTCTGAGTCACTGTTGTTGATATAACTTGTCCAGGACTCCAAGCAAATGGCGAGTAGTACCAGGAATCACTTGATATATAGCCCATTCTGCAATCTGGGGTTACTTCTTATCCACACCATATACAATGTATTTCAAACAGATATGTGAGACTTTGTTTCAAATGGAACATTTTTTAAAATATAATTTATTGTCAAATTGGCTAACACACAGTGTGTAAAGTGTGCTCTTGGTTTTTGGGGTAGATTCCCGTGGTTTATCGCTTACATACGACACCTAGTGCTCATCCCAACAAGTGCCCTCCTCAATGCCCAAATGGAAGATTGTTTATTAGGTATTCAATAGTTAATCTTTTTTTCTAGAAGGCATGATATTATTTAGAAGGATAAATATTGGTAAAATAAGACATTGCAACTGACCGTACATTATTATACTTGGACACACATTATTTTATACACGTACATCTATTTTTAACAGATTTCTTATAAAATTCAGGGCACCTGGGTGGCTCAGTCAGTTAGGCGTCTGACTTTGGCCCAGGTCATGATCTAGCAGTCTGTGAGTTCGAGCCTAGCCTCAGGCTCTGTGCTGACAGCTCAGAGTCTGGAGCCTGCTTCCGATTCTGTGTCTCCATCTCTCTCTGCCCCTCTCCCTCTCACACTCGCTCTGTCTCTCAAAAATAAATAAACATTAAAAACACTTTTTTTTAAAGATTCAGATGTATCTTCTACCAAAACTTGAAAATGCAGAATCAATATTAGCATTCAAAGCAGCTATCTTTAAGAAGGTATCTGTGTATTTCAATTAAATACAAAACTATTTTGGAAAGGCTGTCAGCATCAGAAAATCACTTGAAAACAGAACTTCAAAAGGGTAACTGAAAATATCAAGGGGAATTATGCTTTCAAAAGTGTTCTGAATGAAAGTAACTTCATATAATCAGTAATGAATAATTGGCCCAGAAAACAAATGATAAAAAAGGACTCTAATAATTTTGTTCACATGGGGTATGAACAGACAGAATTCCTACTAAGTGAATAAGAGAGAACAGTTCATAGTCTATTCCCCCTCCATGTTTTCACTAACACCTTGCAATACTAAGAAAATTACTTTTTCACTTAAAAAAATGTACATAAAATGTGCACAGAAAACTAAATTGCTTTTGGCTTGTTATAATGGACTGCAGAAACACAAAGATTCTAATATAATGAACACAGTAAAAACAAGTGATGGAGTGCCTTAGAATAAACAAGTACTTGAGTATCGGGATGTAAATGGGTAGAACAAATATGTGGGCATGCACAGAAAAGGAAAAGATGGAGAAAGCATTTTCACAGAACTCTTCTATGACAACATGTGGGTTCCTTTAAGAAAGTTGTGTTTTATAAACCTACTTGTTTCACTGACTCACTTAAACCACAAAATAGTTGCTTGAACAAGAGCAAAATAATACCATGATTTACACACAGTGCCTTAACCGTATGTGGTTTGAAAACTTCCTGTCATTTGCTACACACTTTGTATCTCTCATAAATATACTTAGAATCCTCCTCCTTCTCCCACACCTGTCATGATCTCAATCTTCATGCTTTTAGTCACTACTAAGAATAATATTAAAATGTTTCTGATCACATCACTGCTAGTTTGAATGAGAGAGAGGAAGAAGATGGTAGAAGAATAAGAGGACATACTGGAACTTTCTGAAAGGTCCTTTGTTAGGATACATTTCTGTATGATTTCCTGACATGTGTCATATGTAACACACAGTGCCACAGCAAAGCTACAGTTATCTGGAGTGGGAATATAAGCTGGTGGCACTGTTATGGAGGGCAACTGCGAACACTATCAATATTATTATAAATGCATGTCCCCTTTAACACAGTAATTTCTCTTAGAAGTCTATTCCTAGAGATAGGTTCACACATGCGTGGCACTATATGTGTAACATGATTCATGCATTATTTGTTATAATAGAAAAAATGTTGGGATGGATTAAGTGTCATCACAGAACTGATTAATAACTGGATACCTTGCAATGGACTACTACACAGCAGAAGGTATAAGGATGCTCTTTATGCACTGATACAACATGATGGCCAAGGTAAATATTCAGTAAAAAAAGTCAAGTGTGGAAAAGTGTGCAGAGAAGGATGCCACTTGTGTAAAAGGGAAAATTAAATAAATACACACACACATGCACTGATGTGTACATAAACATATGTCTGGAGGACACTGGGCAGCACTGGCTGTCTCTGGGGTGGGAAATGAGTGCCTGGTGGACAATTATGAAGACTTTCACTGTATGCTCTTTTATACAGTTTGAATTGGGAATCTTGAGACTGTTTTACCTATTTAAGAAATGATTAAAAAATAAAACTTTTTAAAAAAAAGGTCTATTGAATAAATACGGAAACTATAGTGAATGCTTACCAAGGTTAAGTCTAGAAAGCTACATTCTAGCATCAGGAGAAAGTGAGAAATTCTACAATTAATACGGGAAGAGGAACAAAGACAGCAAGCAAAGATAAAATAGTATCTCTTTGCTCACTACAAAACACAAAACATAGGAACCAAAAGTACTATCAAATGGTTTCTTTTAAACACTGCAGTTGCAAAATAAACCAACAAAAAAGACATCCAAGTACATAAGCTGATTTAAAAGTTTGACCAGCTGTACTTTAAAAACCTGCCATATTTTGGGGCGCCTGGGTGGTTCAGTTGGTTGAGCGGCTGACTTCGGCTCAGGTCATGATCTCGTGGTCCGTGGGTTCGAGCCCCGTGTCAGGCTCTGTGCTGACAGCTCAGAGCCTGGAGCCTGTTTCGGATTCTGTGTCTCCCTCTCTCTGACCCTCCCCCGTTCATGCTCTGTCTCTCTCTGTCTCAAAAATAAATAAATGTTAAAAAAAAATTAAAAAAAAAAAACCTGCCATATTTTATTTCCTGGGCAAGACATCAAGTTTTTATAAAAAAAAATAAATTAAAATGCTGACTATGCATTCCAGCCATATGAGAACATGCATTGTTATTTCCAGCCTGTTACATAATATGAAATGTCTGAAAAATAAGAAAAATGGAGCTTACGTATATTTCTTATGAATATTACCATTATATTTAGCTCTTAACTAAACGAACTTATGATGCCAATTTAACTTATAAAGAAACCACTTTTAAAACTTATATTTTTCAATTAAAAAAATAGAATTACTCTGTAATTTGAGTTAAAGATTTTTCTTTTACCTCTATCTTCCCTTAAGTCTACGAATAGAGATCTTACACAGAAAGATGTCGTGAATGTTTTCTATAGTTTTAAAAATAATTTCCCAAAGAGTTAGAAAGGATGTTTAAATTGTGGATAAATATGAAAAAAGCAGGACATAGTTCTGGACATAGTGATTTTTTTAAAGAACAATCAAAAACAATTCTTATAATTGACATCCTGCTACCTAGGAGGAATCAAAGATGAAATGTATAAAAAGTGTGTATTTTGTGCTACTATTAATTCTATGACTTCAAAACACAGTAATTATGTCCATTTTAGAGATATAGAACTCAGACCAAAAGATCACTGGGGCCTCTCTGTGGCTCAGTCGGTTAAGATCCGACTTCAGCTCAGGTCATGATTTCAGGTTCGTGAGTTTGAGCCCTGCATTGGGCTCCCTGCCGTTAGCACAGAGCCTTCTTGGCTTTCCCTTCTCTCTCTGCCCCTTCTCTGCCCCTGTGTGCTCTCTCTCTGTCTCAAAAAATAATCTTAAGAAAAAAAAATCGTCAACTTTACATTGAGTGCCTACCTCAAGTATAATTATAGAATTTAAATTTAAAAAGTTTTTGCTAAGGCTATTAAACAAAATCATGCAAAAAAGAAAATTTAGAACAGAATTCAACCTTCTAAAGATCCTGAGTTTTTTCCTTAATTTCTTTCCTCCACTTTTCCACCAACACAACTTTCTATTTTAATAACGGTCCATATGCTATTAGAGTGCTTAGGGACAAAATACACTGAAAGTGAAACTTTGAAAAGTTTGAGTTTTACTGACCATGTGATTCTTTCAACTTACTCCTTCGTTGGGTTCTAGCATAAAGTACCACCTGCTGGACAACTTCCAGTTGCTCTTCGATCCGGGGAAAATGGAAGTCAGTACATTCTTGGCAAACTGTGGCAAAATCTAAGGGACCCAAAACATTTACAAACTTTTAAAGGTGGGCTATCAAATATTTAGTATTTACTTAAGGATAATGAGAGCTAGCAGAAATAAAATACAAAATTCACAAGAATGATTTCTTATACTTTTCCTTTTAATAATTATGTCTTAAGTTAGCGCATATCAATTTTGTTTGAATCAGAAACTTAATCTCTCTATCACTCAAAAGAGTAAATAATTAATAAACATGGAAATTTTTATATAATTCCAAACCTGCTTTAAGTAATAGATACTTTAATCATAATCAAGTCCCAGAAAGTGTTAAAAAATACAAGAAAGTTCCCATATTTATGGTGGGAAATAAACTCTATTCAAGCTTCTTTAAAAAGTTACACAATTCAATATACTTTATATATTTAAAATTTTTTAAAAAATCATAAAAAGTGAGATTTACAGAGGGAACATAGATTATTACCTAGCACATTTAAGAAATAGGCTATCTAAAAAAAACAAGGAAGAAAGGACAAAAGGATGAGCTAAAATTCACTGAGCCAGGATCTGCTTCTGAACTGAATACATTTACATCTTGATTATTCTTTTTGTTATGCCTTGAAGCAAGAATCCTATAAGAGCATTACTTATGAGATAACACAATTTTAAGAAACAGTAAATATCCTGAAGCACTTTACCCATGCTGAAGTATGACAGAAATCTAAAATAGCCAAGGCTGGGGATGTGTGTTGCTTGGCTACCAGAATACTAGGGTTAACTAAAATTTTTGTTTTTTCTATAATCCCTTTCTTTGTAAGAATGGTATTCAAAGGAGAAATTTAACGAAATAAATATGTAATGTTAACTTACCTCTTTTAATACCACTATATGAATTGATTCGATTGTCTACAAGTAAAACCAGGCCACAGAGAGAGGTGGAATAAAGTGAGAGTGCAGTCTGGAGTCGATGGAGTTTCACGCCACTTCGGTGATTTCTTTTGTGCTTACAGAAGTCCAGCATATCTGCTCTCAGCAATCTCAAATTATGCATGGTCTTCAACTGGGCTCCTAGGGGGTGGGCAACAGTCCCAGAAAGAAACTTAGACAGCTGCAAAAATCGAGTATAACAGGATGTAAATCTCTATGGCAGGAATTCAGATAAATCTGTGCTACAAATAATTAGAAATAGGTTTTGCAATTTCCCAACTTAATAACTACTCAGATTTCACCTTTATTTTTTTAATTATTTTTTTCAAGTTTATTTATTTATTTCAGGCAGGGAGGAGGAGTAGAGAGGGAGAGAGAGGAGAGAGGAGAGAGGGAGAGAGAGTCTAAGCAGGCTCTGTGCTGTCAGTGTGGAGCCTGACACGGAGCTCGATCTCACGAAGTGTGAGATTGTGACCTGAACCAAAATCAAGAGTCAGACACTTAACTGACTGAGCCACTCAGGCACCTCTCAGATTTCACTTTTCTATTTGTAAAAGATAATATATTAGCGAATACAGAAAGCATACAGCCAACAAACTTCAGGAGCAGGACATTGTTCGTAATTAAAAATAACATGGGTACAGTCTACTCATATGCTGGGGATTTTTCTCTTACAACATAAAAAAAAGCTTCAGAAGTTACAATAAATTACGCCTACAAAAAAATGAGTCCACTTACCTAAGTGAATGGTAAAACTTTCTTCCAACTTTCTCTGCTCCTCATAAATCCTTCCATTTGCTTCTACGGATTCTCTGAACTGACTCGGTTGAACTTTAATTTCCTCACTGCAATTAATAAAATTATTCGTATGCTTTTTTCGTCTCTTTGTCAAGAACTTTTCTTGAAGGAAAGAAAGCTTTATAATGAAATGAGGCAAAGTGAAGTCTGTAAGTACCACTTAACTATTCCTAAACTTATCCTTAATCTATGGTAACAAGTAAGAATCATATACACCAACAGGTTTTAAAATTCCTACTTGTTCTTTCATTTCCTCACAGCAAGTAATGCATATTATTCTTTCCAGTCATTGCAATATCAGCTCATATATTACCATTTAGTATTTCTTAGTGGTCTAAGAAAATGATTAAATGAAGTGATTAACTTACTACTTTAAAATGGCATAATGAAAAAATATATAATATATAGAGCCAGGGTTGGCTCTAGGCAAAACTAAAAAAGGTGACGTGATAGAAATAAAAATTGAAAATTAAAAAGTCAAATAAAAGGAATAATAAAAAAATAGAAAGTTCATTTTGATGTATTCATATCCTCTATTTTTTTAAAACCATTTCCTGCTTTTTTCCATCAACAGCCTCCTCCCATTGAAAGACTTCTCTCTTTGCTCTACTCCATTCTTGTGTTTGCTGAAAAGGTTTCCATGGAGGCATTCAACAACTGTACAATTGTAAATTCAAATTTCATGGTATGTGGAAGATGATATAAGTCTATAATAGTCATTCTGGACTACATTTTTGGGGTTGTTCCAAACAGTCTCTTAGTCTCACTGATTGACTTCATTAGTATATACGGCAAATTTAAACCTAAAAAATTGATATTAACAAAACATCCTCACTTTAGGATGTGAAAAGCCACAAGAGACTGTTGCTCCCACTCTAGCAACAAGAAAAAGCCAGATAATCTATAAAATCATAACTTTCCTGAAATTTGAGGTAACGAGGCAACCAATCAATTCTAAAGAGCAACACACCCCTCAAGGACAGACAGGAGACACAGTTTTCATCTTTGGCAGAGCTTGGTGGAAATGAGTTGCTGCAATGTAAGGAGATAGGAAGAAATGGCTAAAAGTTTAACAATCCTTAAAGGACAAGTGTGGGTTAGCATGTAAATTTAGAATAGCTATGAGCCTCAGGCACAAGGGAGATTTGCATGTACTTACAAAATCTCTTTCATCAGCCTCCACCAGGTGTTTCCAAGAAAACACCGGAGGCTGTGCAGGAGACAAGAGAGCCTCCTTTGTGGCACAGGTAGAAATGCTAAGAATGCCCCAAACCCAAGCCCTAGATATATATGGCCTGCACACAACTGAAGCTGGACAAAGACAACGGAGACCTATTTCCCACCCCCAATATGAGCCTAGCATCACATCACAAACAACAATGGTCTACTCCTGAGGGGTAGAGCAACAGCATAGAGACCTCATGCTTGGCACAGGACTGCAAACACTGAAAGCTGAGGATGGAGCAGAATGACAGGGAAAAACCCTCTAGAACCCAAAGCCCCACTCTAAATACAAAGTGGCAGCAGCTTACTATGGTAGAAAATGCAGCCTGTGGTATCATTGAAGGAAAAAACCAAACTCTGCTCAACTGCTGACTAGGTTGGCATGACATTCACAATAATGGCCTGTTCGTTTCTGGACATAAATATTATCTACCTTAGTCTCTTCTTTACAAACACACACAATGCCCAGCATTTATCTTTTTAAAAAGAGAGAGAGACACAAAAAAAGCAAGCAAAAGAAACAAATAACCCATTGTCAAGAGATAAAGCAATCAACAAACACAGACTGAGAGATGACCCTGGTACTGGGCCTAAAAGAAAAAGACTTTCAGGGCACCTGGGCTCAGCTGGGTAAGCATCCTATTCTTGATTTCGGCTCAGGTCATGATCTCATGGTTTGTGAGATAAGCCCTGCACTGGACTCTGCACTGACAGCATGGAGGCTGCTTGGGACTCCTCTCTCTCTCTCTCTCTCTCTCTCTCTCTCTCTGCCCCTCCCCTGTGCTTGCTCATGTGTTCCTTGTCTCTCTCTCAAAATAAATTAATTTAAAAAAAAGACTTTCACATAACAATGACCAATATGAAAGATCTACTGGAAAACAACACACAGGATGCACAAAGAATTTCAGCAAAGAGAGAAAAGAAATGAAAAGTGCTAGAAATAAAAACATGATACAGATTGATGATCACAGATACCAATTCCTTTGACAGGCTCATAGGCAGACCACCAACTTATTTTATGCTGTCATTACCCAGATGCCAAAACCAAATGAATATATTATAACAAAACTATACACATATATACACATATACATATACTTATTCATTATCTTATAGTAGACATATTCACTTATATTTTCATATATAATGTGTATGAAATAATACATTATGACTCATACATATACATTATAACTATAAAATTTCTAGAATACAACTGAGCAATAAAAAGAAAACTACTCACAAATGAAGCAACATGCATAAGTCACAAATGCATTGTAAGTAAAAGAAGCAAGACACCAAACTGCTACATAACAGTTTGATTTTATTGATAAGACATTCTGAAAAGAATAAAAACTGCAGGGACAGAAATCAGAGCAGGTTGACAGGAGAAGGGAAAGAGAAAGGAATGGGTTATAAAAGTATACAAGTGAAATGCTGTATCTTGGTTGCGGTGATGATTTCATGACCAGTTAAGTTTGTCAAAACTCATCAAAATGTAAACTTAAAAGACGTAAATTTTAATTTATATAATTTACCCTTCAACAGACTTTTTTTTTAAAGAGAGAGAGAGAAAGTGTGAGCAGGGGAGGGGCAGAGAGAGAGAGGGAGAGAGAATCTCAAGCAGGCTCCATGCCCAGTGTGGAGCCCAATGAGGGGCTTGATCTCACAACTGTGAGATCATGACCTAAGCCTAAATCAAGAGTCGGATGCTTAACTGACTGAGGCACCCCAAGAGAAATAACTTACTTACTTACTTATTTATTTATTTATTTATTTTTTAATTTTTTTTTAATGTTTATTTATTTTTTTTGAGACAGAGAGAGACAGAGCATGAACGGGGGAGGGTCAGAGAGAGGGAGACAGAATCCGAAACAGGCTCCAGGCTCCGAGCTGTCAGCACAGAGCCCAACGTGGGGCTTGAACCCATGGACTGCGAGATCATGACCTGAGCTGAAGTAGGCTGCTTAACCGACTGAGCCACCCAGGCACCCCGAGAAATAGCTTTTTTAAAAACACAAAAATAATGACTAAAAAAGATACCACTTTAATCAATTTCTTGTAGGAAATCTATAGGGAATTGTGTTGAAAACAGGTTTCTGCTGCCCAAGGAAACCCCTACTGGAAAGAAAAGCAAACTAACAAAGTCACATTAAAAACATTTTTCCTAGGAATATTTAGTTTTTAAAAGCAGCACCAGCTAGAAGCCAACAGGTACACAATGGAACTGATTCTATAGACTGAAGTTCTGAAACTATAGTAGCAAAATGAGAGATAATGTTTATAATAAGGGGCTTTCTCAGCTTCCTGAAATCAGTGACTCTCCACTTTTCTGACCACAACATACAGTATATACTTTACATTTTGGCTTAATACACACATTTATTTATAGGAAGCTTCATGTATGATGTGCTCTCATATTTTCCACCTATTCTACTCTACTCTCTTCCATTCCAATTCATTCCATTCCATTTTATTGTTATTTTTAAAAGTCTGAGTGGAAAGTAAAGAATCTAGAATGATCCTAACAGATTGAAACCAACAGTTTGAGAAACACCATTTACATTACAGTAAACAGATGTTCCCAACCCATCTTTCCACCCACCCCTCCCTTTGTATTGTGTTAATATTTTTATTTGAAATGAGAACTATAGTCAAATATGTAAAATATGTTAGTGCCAAGGATGCTATCCCATTTCTAATCATAAAAATTGTTTAAGTATTTCTAAGGTGTTGTCTTGGGGAAAATAAGGCAAATGAAATATTATGTATATGGATAAAAGGTGATACAGGTATCAGGTTAAGAGTTTAATGACAATACATCCACCTGCCTATTTGTCCACCCATCCCATCAATATGTATTGAGTATGTTTTATGTGCCAGTATTAAGAGCTAGACACTTGGCAACGATCAGGGTATACAACAATAGAAAAAACAAACATGGCTTTTGTCTTCAAAGCAAGAATAGTAGGGGAGACTGACATTATACAAATAAAATGCTATTTCTAACTGTTTATACCAAATAACAGGCAAAAGCTGAGAATAAGATTATTATACTGTACTAAGTACATTTCCAGTTGAATATACTTTAAGACTGGAAAGAAAGAAATTCTCAAACACACAAGTACACAGCCAGGAAATAACACAGGTACTGTCAAAGCTCTAGGGCAATATATGAAATACATCAGGTACTGTACAACTTACAAATTGTAGACAAATTGTAGACAAATAGACTATTTTTGTACCTGGTACATGCTTATATTACTGCATGTATCATTCTATACAGTACTGTTTTATTTATAGGTCAGTCTCTCTAGAATATAAGCTCCACATGGGTAGGCATCTTCTTTGTTTTTTTGCTTAGAGAGTGCTTGGCATTTAAGATGCATTCAATCAATGCATATTGCACTGAACAGAAACCAATTTAAAAAAACAAGAGATACACAGTGCCTGGGTGGCTCAGTTAGTTAAGCATCTGACTCCTGATTCTGACTCAGGTCATGATCTCTGAGCTGACGGTGTAGAGCCTGCTTGGGATACTCTTTCTCTCCCTCTCTCTCTCTGTCCCTCCTCCACTCACATGTGCATGCATGTGCATGCTCTCACTCTCAATATAAATAAAAACCCCAAGAGGTAGTAGTTGGGGTATTTAGATATACATACCTAAGAGATTTATAGCTAAATTTTAGGGGGGGTAGGAATCACTATTTTAGGCCAACCAATTAACCCCCCTCCCTAAATAATCCACATAAATCCAAATTACACCAAAGGTGTTAGAAGCATAAAATTATCTTGAACTGTCATTGCTAACTTAAAAATATCTACAACTGAAGGGGGACCTGGGTGGTTAGGTCGGTTATACATCTGACTTTGGCTCAGGTCATGATCTCACAGTTCATGGGTTTGAGCCCCAAGTTGGGCTCTGTGCTGACAGCTCAGAGCCTGGACACTGCTTCAGATTCTGTGTATCCCTCTCTCTCTGCCCCTCCCCTACTCATGCTCTTTCTCTCTCTCAAAAATAATAAACAGTAAAAAATTTTTTAAAATATCTACAACTAAAAATGTTCAATTTTACAACAAATACAAACTCATACCCACAACGAACTTTCATCTAATAAGAACCATACATAATTAATACCTGAGGGAGCTGTTGTTGGGGTTTTTTAGGTCTTGATGAAGTTTTATCACCCATTCCTGATATTCTTGTTTTTGGATGGCAGTTGATTGTTTTAATTCATTTGACCATTTATTTTCTAAGTCCTAAAAAGAGAGAGTACACCAAGTGGTTAATTTTTTTACAAAAATAAATAAGCAAAAGAAAATGCAATTGTGTATCTAAAAGTCATTCTACTTCACTTACTTGCTGGGATTCAAAATGCTGAGCAGCCAGTGAATTTACATCTTGATCTGTCAGTGATTTCCCCAATTCCTGCATCACTTTTTCCATTTCAATACCTTGTCTAAAACATAAATAAGAAGATAAAATATGGTCATAAAATCTTTAAGGTATATGGCCACTCCAGAATCACTGAACAATCTCTATGAAGCAAAAATAAAATTTTTATTTTGGGGCGCCTAGGTGGCTCAGTCAGTTAAGCGTCTGATTTCTGCTCACGTCATGATCTCGCAGTTTGTGAGTTCGAGCCCCGCCTCAGGCTCTGTGCTGACAGCTAGGAGCCTGGAGCCTGCTTCAGATTCTGTCTCCCTCTGTATCTGTCCCTCCCTGACTCTTTCTCACGCGCACTCTTTCTCCCTCTCAAAAATAAATACACATTAAATTTTTTTTAAATAATAAAAAAAAAGAAAAGAAGAAATTTATTTTAAAGGAGTATGTCCAGGGATGGCAACTATAATACCAGGAAAGCACTTTGAAGCCTTGGAAATGCAGATGTGGAAATAATGATAATGTCATATAATACCAACGTCATTTGTACAGCTAAATTTTAATCTAAATTTAACCCATAAGTGAATGTGGTCAAAATCTAGGTAATCTTTCAATTTCTATGGCTAATGTTTAAAGTCAAGACTCCTTTCCATTTGCAGATTTCCTCAAAGATGATACTCTGCAACTCCAGCTTTAACATATTTTCTACTTCTATTTACATGAGTTAAAGTGACTTCAAGGTTTGGAAGTCAGCTTATATAGTATTGCCCAAAGCTACCAATTAGGTTCTAAGAATAAAACCGGTATTAAGTCATAAAGCTCTCATTACAGAGGAATATAAGATACATTCTAAAGATATGTTTTAGTTATACCTTCTTCATTTATCTAAATAAACAATATGCATAAATTAAACATGGTTTTCCCACAGGAAAAACTAATCAATGGTGTTAGAAGTTCAGATAACTGAAGTTCCTTATGGGAGAGATGGGTTGTGACCAGCTGCGCCCGAAGGAGCCTTCTGCAGTGCTGGAAATATTCCATTTCTTGATCTGAGTGATGATTATATGGTGTGCGTACTTTAACTGTACACCTACAGTTTGTTGTCTTTTATGTGTGTATATTTTTTTTTAATTTTTTTTTCAACGTTTTTTATTTATTTTGGGGACAGAGAGAGACACAGCATGAACGGGGGAGGGGCAGAGAGAGAGGGAGACACAGAATCGGAAACAGGCTCCAGGCTCCGAGCCATCAGCCCAGAGCCCGACGCGGGGCTCAAACTCACGGACCGTGAGATCGTGACCTGGCTGAAGTCGGACGCTTAACCGACTGCGCCACCCAGGCGCCCCTATGTGTGTATATTTTAATAAATAAGTTCATTGGACATTTTCGAATCTAAAAATTATTTTCTAATACAATCATATTTTAAAAGTTTGCTCTAAAATATATTGCAAACACATGTGGAAAGAATAAAGATGTGAACCAAAAGGATTTTACTATCATTCTCATTAATTTAATTGCTCTTAAAAGAGAATTTATACTTACTTATAACAACTGATTAAGATACTTACATGTATATGGTAAATAAAACTCACATATATATTATACATTTATACATTTCTTTATATACTTTCTAGTATTAAATATGCAATATCATTTAGTCTCCCCCTAATTCTAATGCAGGTGACCCCAGTAAGTTTTTGTAACTACTGGGGGCCATGTGCTTGCAAGTAAGATTTTATTTAAAACATAAATAATTGCTAAACATTTATAAATATAAAGTTCGATATAAATAGATTAATATTTTACATTACACATGTTCCCTCTAGTGGATAAAAAGTATCATTGCCATTTTTAAGTTTTAGGGATTCAGTATCTTTAAATATCAATATATGAATATTTTTAAATATTTATATTTTATATCTGGTTTGCTAACAACAGCAAATTAACAGCGAGGAAAAAAAAGACTAATAAATAATTCAACAAATGAAATTTCATGAACATTTATTTCATTCTAAATGTGTCAGAAATGCAAGTAGCTAATGATACAGTTAATGATACAATATACATTTTCTATGATTAAGATAAAAGGAAATTTCATTATATTTCTAGCTATACCTAACTAGATATTGGCTTAGTATGTCAGGTGTGACAATTCTAACAATGTGAACATTATCTTGAAGACATTTAGAAATAAAGGATTGTAACAGTCTTGATGCTGTGGTGAGAAATTGTCTTTTTAAGATGTAAAGTGGAATTAAAATGAAGACAGAAATAAGAAAATGTGTCACTTCTGCTCATGAATTGGGTAAGTGAATTGGGTGAACTTCCAGATACCAGTGAATTCCAACTTGCCTTAAGTTACACTGTTCACCTTTACACTATTTACCTACCTCAGGAGGAACACAGCTTGTTTTTCCTTTCCAGCTAACAGTTTGGATATGTGGAGAATAAATTGCAAAGCTGTTGTCAAAATAAATGTATTCCAATATTGTTTATGTTTAGAAAGAAAAAAAGAAAGCAAAACTCATCAAGAAATTTGTCCAAAGGACATTTCAAAAAATAACATTAACCCAAACAAGCTCCTACTAAAAAAACTATTACACAAAAGAAAAAAAATGTATGAAGTATCAGTAAATGCAGATAATTAGTAAGTTAATTCAGCTTCCCAAAAGGTGAAGAATCATGTGGAATAGGAATCTTCTCCTGACTTAGAAAAAAAAAAAAAAAAGACGGAATGCTGGTGGCCAGATATGGGGTTTTCTGTGAGGTGTAGTGAGCAGATAGCAAAGTCACAATTCAGAGTAGCTTACCAGCTGAATGAAAGTCCTACTCATAGCTATTGATATGGACTATAGAATACATTGATACTGACTATAGCCAAGCTGGGATTTTTTTTAATATACCTAAATAGGAGAATGAGGATAGTCCCAGAAAACCTGAGAACCAAGAGCAGATTCAGAGTGAGCTGAAGGTTATATTATTTGAAGCCTTGGTAGGAAAAAAATCAAATAAATGAAGTTCAACAGAAAGTAATCAATTAGTATTAGGTAATTATACTTTCATATATTTATATAAATTGAATCTATATTTCGTTAATTCTAAAAATATATTTACAGTTTTACTGGCTACATCATAAAAGACTGGGAAAAAAAAAACCATCAAATTTTCATCTCCTTTGGGAGACAGCTTCAACTATCTACCTGATGCAACTACCTATACTGCAGGTATCCTGTCTATAAAGGAATAAACTGCCTCAAAACAGCTAATTACATACAGAGTAACAAATGTCAAGACATCAAGTTCTTTTTGACAGGGACAGTTCTAATATTTTATTAGATAGGGGAAAAAAAAGGCTGAGTGGTGTAGAATTGTTACAAAAATGTACAAATCTATGCAATACAGTAAAAATGCTGATCTGGTACACAGAAGAGTATTTCTCAGGAAGAATTATTAAATTCAGTTGCTTATGATTTTTGTGTTTTACATATTCTTAACTATGACAATCATCAAAATAACAGTTTATTCTCATCTTGTTAGTCCCAACATTTTCTAATACAAAGCAAATGAGAGCCAGGAGCAAACCAGTATACGTTATTTTAAATTTACTACTTTGGGACAGATTATGAAATTAGTCACACAAAATACACGTGATTTGGTTCTAATATACTTTCACAATCAAGGAAATTTCACATCAGCAACACTGAAAAAATTATCTTAATGCCATGTATACCTAAAGTCTTAAGTATATATTTTAAGGTAATAAATTTTATTAGATTCTGCTAGATCAAAATGGATTATCTAGAAAAAGCATGTCTTGATTATTACATTTTATGAACTGCCAGGAAGCGATCTGGAAAGTCATGTTTTGAAATAAATAATGGTAGCAATTTTTTACTTACTTACTCTGAAGAAAAAAATGAAAGACAAAAAGACTGCTTGCATACTGCTTGCAATGAATTAAAATCTAATTAAAATTTCTTGGAATAAGACTAGTGTTATTTTTTACTTCATGTAAATAAACTTACAAAATGAACTGAGAGAGACCATGAACATAGTAATGGCAGGGTTTTAAAGAGGTTCTGAACAGGGAGAGAGCATTGTACAGTGGTTAAGAGCTTTGGAGTCAGACTCCCTAGTTTCAAATTCCAGCTTGTCCTTAGACAAATTACTTAACTTATTTAAGCCTCAGTTTCCTCATCTGTAAAAGGTGGTAATAATAGGATTCTGGTAAGAATTAAATGAGATAGGGCATCAGTTACTGACTGCATGTTTGTGTCCCCCAATTCATATGTTGAAATCCTAATCCCCAATGTGATATTTGGAGGTGGGGCCTTGGGAAGTACTTACGTTTAGATGAAGCCATGAGGTTGGAGCCTTCATGACAGAATTAGTGTCTAGAGCTTTCTCTAAAAGATATGCACCAGGAGGGCACACTGAGGAAAGGCCATGGCAGCACACATCAAGGCATGGTGTAGAAGCAGATGGGTCTGCCAGATACCAAATCTGCTGGCACCTTGATCTTGAACTACCTAGCCTCCAGAACTGGGAGAAATAAATCTCTCTTGTGTAAGCCACCCAGTCTATGGTATTTTGTTATAGCAGTCTGAACGGATTAAGACATCATCTAAAGCACTTTGCACTGTGCCTAGAATAAAGCCTTTGACAAGAGGTGCCTTCAACAAGATGTAAGCTATTCCTCTTACTAGAAATAATATATGAAGCTACCATAATTTACTCAGGTAGATCACTTGAGAAGTTTTATAAACCTATGAGGACTTCCTAGTTGAAATTACAGATTGAAACACAGAAAAAACTAATTTCTAATATTAGAGAATTTTTTCTATTTTATTTTTCAATTTTACAATTGAATGAAAATTGTTCTGCAGCCATCATACCTGACAATGTAACATTTAATTATGATAACGCAAGAAATCTCAAATACCTCTCTCGTAACTTTTTCAGCTCCACGTCTCTTTCACCAATCAGTTCTGAGATACTAACAAAGTAATTATGTTCCAAATTTAGAAGAGTTTCAGAGGCCGGAGAATGGATTAGGTCATGGTATACATCTGCAAAATCTTCATCCCAGCTGGGCTCTTCAGGCCTCGCATGCTCTAATGTGGTCTACAAGATGATACACAGACATTTATGATACGGTAAATCATACGCACATAAATCATGATACAGTATTTTTATTTAATACACTCTAGGTACATATAATATGATTCCATTTTTGTACATCAGACAAGGAGAGAAAGACCTATTTATGTATGTGCATATATGGGTTATATAGGATTATTTTAGTATACAAAAAATATGGGAAGATACAAACTAAGTTGTAATAGCAGTTACCTGGAGGCAGGGATGAGGAGGGGGTGCTAACATGGAGGAAGGGATAGGAGGTACCCACGATGGAAAAAAAACTAAGGATGCGGGGCGCCTGGGTGGCGCAGTCGGTTAAGCGTC